CTGAAAAAGATATAAAACATAAAATTCGAAGAACAAATTTTGTTTCTTTTGGTAAATATTAAATACTAGAATTTAACCCGGCAACGTTGTTTTGCCGTATAAATTATTTCTACTGATTATATTTTTTTTAAATAAATGATAATGAATGTATTATATTGTACTGCCATTTGGCGCAGTATTGTGAACTATTTCCGTTGCTCCGAACGAAGTCATTTGGAAGCATGAATTAAATATGCGAATGGACTTCAGGAACAGATTTGAATCTTCATGCGTGCCAATGAGCAAGCCGTGCAATGGTTCTGGTAGTCTATCAATTTCTGGTAGTTGCACTTTTTCTGATGCGCAACACAACCTGTCTGATTCTTAATAAGGGCATTCTTTGTCCATAGAACCAATCATCACTTTAGGATGTCGAACGCAAAACGAAAGAAACGAAGTGGATGTAAATGCTCGATGTACTTATATTGATCTAATACAACTTTTAAAAACACATTAACTAAGTTATATTTCTATCTGTTAAATTTTAATAAAATATTTTCTTATATCAAAAATTTGATAATTTCAAAACCTACTTTGTCGTTTCTCACCACTGACGTTTCATGTCAATTAAAAAACTAAAAACTCAAATTTTCAACCATACCATACATTATAATTGTTAATTATTTATTTTGTTGAGTTTGCAACAACCAGGTAGTTTTATTGATTAAAAACGATATTTATTGCAACACAAACTTATATTGATCTAATACAACTTTTAAAAACACATTAACTAAGTTATATTTCTATCTGTTAAATTTTAATAAAATATTTTCTTATATCAAAAATTTGATAATTTCAAAACCTACTTTGTCGTTTCTCACCACTGACGTTTCATGTCAAGTCACACGGGAATGCTGTCGAACGGGATAAAAAGTATCCTATGTCCTTCTCCTGGCCTTAAACTACCTCCCTGCCAATTTTCAGCTAAATCGGTTCAGCCGTTCTTGAGTTATAAGTGGTGTAACTAACACAACTTTCTTTTATATATATAGATTTAGCTATCAGTAGGAAAAATGTACAATTGATTATAATTACTGTAAGGATTTATCAGCGTAAAATATAGAGTGGGAACACAAATTTTAGTGAACCTTAACATTTGGCTATTAGTAGAAACAATTTTATGGAAAAACTTGAACACATTTTTTGGGTATCGCAGCTAGAAGTAAAAAAAGTCATAAAAATAAGAGGGCTTTTTGTAGATTTTCACTTTTAAAATTTTACTGTTAAAAAATAAAACTCGTCGAGTTTTTGCGATATCTTGACTTCGCTAAAATTTCATAAAACTGCAAACAAATTATAATAACTTATAAAATAATGCAGTGCTGTTTTATGTTCTATATTTTAGTTTTAGTTCATTTAAGATGTGCGAAGTTATATTAAGTTAATTTTAGTAACATTAAATTACAATGTTTAAATATTATATTTATATTAGACATATTGATTTTTAAGTTTTTATTCATAGTCTCTATATCCACTCTCAGTTTTTAATTAATTATTTTTATAAATAAATTTGTAATTCATAATAGTTTATAACAAAATTTATAATTTAAACTAGATAAAAGTAATTTAAGTACAAATTTCCTTCTACTAATTTAAAGAGAGCCAAAAATTTTTACATTTTGGAGCTCAAAAAAAGAAAAAAAAACAAGAAAAGGTGTGAATAAATTAAATCAGTAGATGCGCTAAGAGCGCACAATTTCCAATCGAATGCGTCCGCTATGGAAGACATGGACGAGACATGTACGCAAAATGTCTTCGAAGACATTTTACTAAATTCTTCGAAAATGTCTTTGATGACATTAATACATTTAGATCGTTCGGTCACCAGGCATGCATCCATGTTTTCGAAATGTATGCGATAACGGATCGACCCGTGTCCTATTGTATATCTTCATGAAAAGATCGTTAAAAAGTTCATAATAAAACTAATAAAACGAGAACATTCAAAATTGTACTTAAAATGTTGGAAACAGTGCACTATTTTGTGTTTGGACATGTTTTTTTCATTTTTAGTGTACTACATTTTTAATCGTGAAAGCATCGTCCGCAATGCTTTTGCCTGCTTTGTTCTCGCAGAAGCGTATTTAATTCAAACACAGACGATGCTTTAGCGATACTTTAGTAAGAGAGAGTTGTCCATCGTCCACGAATCGCTTAGATGCGCAACTCTCCGGTTGATCATTTTCAATAGTGAGCTTTCCTCTCAAATTAATAAGAGCTTTTAGTACTGTAACTTATATATTGAAACATTTAATTTTTTTTATTTTTTATAATTTATTTTTATTAATTATAAAACTCTAATATCAGAGCAAATGCACAGATGGTTTTTAGTGCATGCGTAAGTACACTTTTTCTACTCTTCTTTGTTATCGCACTCTTACTATATATCTGTTTATGCATTGGTAGGTGAGACAATATTTTTGAATGTGATGCTTGGACTTTGTTTTTATGCATTTTTTTTCTCTTAAAATATATGACTGACTTTCCAAATTATTTTAAATTTGATTTTTGCTGAAATTGTATACTGGCGTCATACAAAAATAGGATGTTAACCTGTGATATGATAAGAAAATACCGGAGTAGCGCAACCACAGTTGTTATTAGTGTAACAATCGCAACAATCACTCCGATGTTTTATTTCTTTATCGTTTCACTGTTCGTTTCGTCAAAAAAAATTCAATGAGTCAGTCATAAACAGTATGAAATTTGTTGGTGACGTAAAATAACAGTCACCAAAACAGTTGCTAGAAAGTTTTATAACTTCATCGCATTGAGGAGCACTCGTCCAAAACTCTTTTGATTGTAGGCTGGGAACATTAAAAATTTCATTGATGTGCTTCAAACATGATCAGTGCACTATTATTCTGTGCTATTTATTTCCGTTCATTGGTTAGCGCCATGTTATATAGAGCGTCTCGGGCACGGAAAAATTGGCTCTTTCGTGCTGTGCTAAAAATGCATGATATATAGACTGTCACATCAGTATTGTCAATATCGTATTTTTACTACTTTTTGGTCGAGCCTTAATTTTAAAGGAAATGTAGGTGTGCTCAATTTTAATTTGCCACCAAAAATAACCAATAAGAAAATACTCATAGAGGCTGTTTGATCAAATGTATGATCAAATGTTGGAATCAACTGTTCGCAAGTACTGAACACTTCCATCCAGAACTTATGTTGATTCTATCAAATAAAAAAACCACTGATACTTGAATCCAGTGATTTCGACGATTGTATTCAAAAATTCTAAACACTGAACACTTAAATCCAGTGATTAGACGTTTATGTGATGTAAGTTTGGTACTTGATATAAATCTACCAAGCTAATAAACCAGAAAAGAGAATTAATTCTAAATGTGGCTTCGCATCAATTGAATTGTCAAAAATTCAATTGTGCCTTTTATTTAAAAATTAATAATCAATTTACAACAACTAAATTAACTAAAATTACCTTGACCGCGAATGGCAAACAATTAACTTGTTACAAACTACAAATGTGTATTTTCTTACAGACGAAATCTAACGCTTTTGTTTTCATGTGCAAACAAAAGAATGTGACGTATTTTGAGCATTTTATTCACAACGTTATTTTTTACAATAACGATACAAAAAAAATACAACCGAATTATTACTATAAAAATAATATAAACATATTATTACAAACAAATTAATATAATTCATATAATATAACATTTACCAGAGGCTGAAAAATGTTAATTTATTATGGCAACTTAATAGCCCGCACTATTAGAAATGAACTGAACTCTGGTCAACAAAGCGCCAACTTCCTATCGCAAATGAAATCAAAAAGCGTAAATGGTAATTGATCGGACATACATTGAGGAAAGCACCAAATAAAATCTGCAAACACGATTTAACGTTGTTTCCAATCCTCAAGGAAGCAGAAGATCTTGTAGCCCAAAGCAAACGTGGAAGTAAACACTAGAGAAAGAAATCAAAGCAAGCGGAAAAATCTTTGGAAACATTAAAACCCTGGCAAAAAATCGTAAAAGTTGGAAAAAGTTCGTTGTGGCCCAATGTTCCCCTGGGAACGTGATGGAATGAAGAAGTACTGACAACATTATTCGCCTTTCGCCTGATGACTGTCAAAGAGAGTCGAAATATAGAATTATTTAAGAAATAGCAGTAAAGGTTTTTTTTATTTTTATTGAAATAAAAGTGACCTATAGCCAGCTAATAAATAAATAATAAAATCATTATTGAATACAGGTCGATAAACAAATTTAAAGTTATCTATAAATGTTATAAATATATAGGTACAAGTGACACCAACCGACATTTCTGAACTTTACAACTATGCGACTACCAATTTTTTTTAGCATATGATTAAAGGTATAAATATGGAATATCTGTGCTTTTAACAAGATGATGCCGCATGCTTCCAAGCATTTCTTGTTTAGCCTGCGATGCGGAAAAAATTCCTCGGATGTGTAATTTCATACTTTAGCAATGATAATTGTCTACCAAAATCATGTAATTTATTACCATTAGACTTTTTTTAAAATTATTTTGTTGAAAATGTATTGTATTTTTGTGGAAATTCTCTACTGACGGTTTGAAAATTATCATTCGTCAAGTTAAGACCGAGCTATTACTCGCTATATGCCACTATATGTCTTCACAAATTTGATGGTGTCGCAATTCATATCCAATGAAAAAGTCCAGGTAAAATCCAATGAACTTTTTGATTTTTAATAATGTAGTTAACGTCTATTCTTTTAAAAAAGTGCTAATATAATTATTTCAAACAAATTATAATTAAATAAAAATATTGTCTATACTAATTATACCATAATTTATAAAAATACTTATTTCGTTTTCATAATAAAATATCACCTTGCAGAAGAAGTCAAAATCTTGTATTCAAATTCTAAACTCAAAATAATCATTATTATTTGATTCCTATTTTTTTCTAAACTTAAAACTAAGTTGAACAAAATTTGATTTAAAGTCTAAAGCTTCATATTTACTACATAAAATTTTATTTAAGAGGACATTTTAGAGGACATTTGCGACAATGTCCTTGTGTCTGATGTTTTAAAATTTTTTACTTTCGTTCGCTTGTGTTTCAATGAGATCCATGTTTACATGGCTATCCCATAAAATTTAATAAAACTGAAAATACGATGCAAAACACAAAACAATGATGAAGTGCCTCATTTGAGTAGGGGTTTTAATTGTAAATTAAGTCGCTATTGTATGTCGATACGAAATACCAAGCAGAAAGGCCATGCAAAGTATGAATATTTACATTTTTCTTTATACTATTTTATTGCGGCAACATTTAAAGCATGCATAAGTATTTCGGCCGCAAACTGATAATTGTTGATAAAAAACGCTATCGATATGCTTTGTTTATGCATTTACTAATTCAGCTACGTGAATTAAATGCTTTTCTTATCTTTGAATACGTAAATTTCATTTACTTTTACACTTACCAATCATTACTGTAGCACAATAAAATAAAGACTGTTTCAGATACACTTCAGGTAAATAGTTTAAAATTTAAATTGAATGTGATGCGTTGTTGATAATATTTACATCAGTTAAAACAAAACAAATTTTAAGATCTAACTCATATCCTTTTCAACAGTCTTAGTTTCGAAAAACTAAACTTTTTTTATAATTTGTTTTTTTATTATAAGCATCAGATTTTGTAATTAATAATTTTTTTAGTTATGGTGCCTGAACTTTTCATCTTAGTAATACTCTCAGCATGCCTAGATAAATTTGCTGTTGGTGAATTTCAGTAAGTACTAAAAACAGAATCAGATATTAAAATTATATTTTAAAATAACTATGCAAAATTAATCTTTTCCTCTAAACAGGCAAAGTCTAGCTATAACTGATATCTTGCCCGAAGACGTTAAGCGATACGATAAGATGCGACCACCAAAAAAACAGGGGCAACCAACCATAGTTTATTTTCATGTAACAGTAATGGGTTTAGATTCTATTGATGAGAACTCCATGACTTATGTAGCCGATATATTTTTTGCACAAACATGGAAAGATCACCGCCTTCGTTTACCAGAAAATATGACAGCAGAGTATCGTTTACTTGAAGTCGATTGGCTGAAGAATATGTGGCGGCCAGATTCATTTTTTAAAAACGCTAAGTCTGTAACGTTTCAAACGATGACCATACCCAATCACTACATGTGGTTATATAAGGACAAGACAATTCTGTACATGGTTAAATTGACATTAAAACTATCTTGTATCATGAACTTTGCTATATACCCGCACGATACTCAGGAATGTAAATTACAAATGGAAAGTCGTAAGTAATTTGGTTCAAATTAAAAAAGGTAGTTTATTCGTAATCTGCATGGGTCTCGGAAGTTCTTAAACTCTTTTGATCTTAAGTGAATGTGGCCGCTTAACATAACTTCTTCCAATTAGCAAATCACTGTTAACAATTTATACTGTTTTATGTAAATATTTATTTCTGCATAATATTAAAAAAATTTTGCATGGTATGGACATATATATTGATATTATATTACATATACTTAGGCTAAATTTACTTATGCTATATTCTATCTTCAGAGCTTTTTTTCATATATTTTATTTTTGTATGTGCATAGTCTCGCATACTACAGATGACATGATATTCCAGTGGGATCCAACCACTCCACTAGTGGTCGATGAGAATATTGAACTACCCCAAGTAGCACTTATACGGAATGAAACAGCCGATTGCACTCAAGTTTACTCCACTGGAAACTTTACATGTTTGGAAGTAGTATTTACGCTGAAACGTCGTTTGGTTTATTATATATTTAATACTTATATTCCGACCTGCATGATTGTTATTATGTCTTGGGTTTCATTTTGGATAAAACCAGAAGCGGCGCCAGCACGAGTTACATTGGGTGTTACTTCTCTATTAACTCTTTCGACACAACATGCTAAGTCACAATCATCGTTACCACCAGTTTCCTATTTAAAAGCAGTCGATGCGTTTATGTCCGTTTGCACTGTTTTTGTTTTTATGGCTCTAATGGAATATTGTCTCATTAATATTGTATTAAGTGACACGCCTATTCCTAAACCAATAGCTTATCCTCCAAAACCAGTGCCAGAACAACCAAAGAAAGAACCAGATCCTCTGCCTTCTTTACCAGCTAATGCAACAAAACAAATTGTTGGCGAAAAAATTGAAAAAATAGAAAAAATTTTTGATGAAATGACTAAAAATAAGCGGGTAAGTAATTTCATCAATACAAAATGTAAAACATGTACAGTGATCAAAGAAAGTATTTGTCATCAACTAAATTTTTGTGAAATGTTGCAGTCTGTTGCATAAATGACGAATACTTTTTTTGCTTTATATTTTGGAGTTCCACAATAGAAATCCTTTTTTTGTTATTTTACTTATAAATTTGTGGAGTAAAAACAATAAAAACAAATAAACAGAATACAATCGTTGAAAATTGCATTATTTTTTTTCATATGTTTTGTTTCGTTTTGTCGTTGTTATAACATTTCACAAAAATTTAGTTAATGACGAATACTTTTTTTCACCACTGTAGTTCAATTCCTACATAAATATTAATGCAGAAATTTGATAAGTCACATTATTAAAATCTAGTTATGAGCATTATACAAAAGCTAAGTATATCATTTTAAAATGCTTTACCAATGGAAAATGATTTCTTCACATAAAAAACTGGAAATATTGTATGAGAGAAGATCCACATTCAATATTCATATAGCAATAGCGTACTACATTTTAAATACCTATTTTATGCTAAAGAATTTAAAGATCTATTTTCTTAAAATCGGTTTTTCAAGCGAACTATTTATTTATTAATATTCATTGCTTCCAGAAAATTTTTTTTTTATAAAAATCAATAACTGTAATTTATGTATATCAATTTTGGCTAAATTTTTTACAATTTCATAGGTTATTTTACATTTTAATTCTTTTAGTAAATATTTTAATCAACTCCATTGTACCCTGTTATCTCTTGTCGTTGTATGCCTGCTTGTAATTTTTGTCGTGGTCAATTGTTCTATTGTTATTGTACTTCGACTGCGCCAATTATTTTACGTCTCCCAAGTTATATCCAAGGATCTACACTTGTCACTTGTCACTTATCACTTGTTTATTTTTTTTTGCAATACAAGTTTATGATTTATTATTGTTCAATATCTATTTGCTACCATGCAGTTTTTGGCTCGACGACACTTAAATGCTTCCAATCCAACTGCTTTGGAAGTTTTTATTCACCAAAGGAATTACAAATTGTCGAATTGTCGAATTCAAATTTGTAAATTTAGTTATTTAATTTTTCATCAACATGTTATACAGCTTAAGTCTCAATTGCATATTGTTCTCTCAAAAAACTTTTAAATTTGCATTATTTTGTTGCACTTTTATAATTTTTACAGCATTTATTGATTAATTAATTATAAATTGTTCCATTAAATACTTTTGTGATTCTTTTCACACCTCACATCATCCACTCGCTTCATGAACTTACATCATGAACGGACAAAAAATAACTCCCTACTTCTAAAATTTCCACCCATGTTTTCACCTTTAAAAAACTGCAAAAACATTGGTCATGCATTATCGGAATTAATGAATGATCGGAATTTTCCAATACTTTTCTACTATTTCGCAGAACATAGAAGGTAAAATATTGGCTTAGTTACCTGTTAGTAAATGCAGAAAATTATTTAAAAACAAGTTGGGTCATATTAACAAATTGCATTACGTACCAAGAAAAAGGTGTGTAATCAATTGGTTATAAAATTTTAGGGTATCTAGTCAAAACTAGATATTGCAACACAATGAACAAAAAGAAATTGGAAATATTTTGCAATAAATGAAGTTTTCTAAAAGAATAACTGAAAAATGAAAAAAAATGTTTGATTTTACTTATATATATATATATATATATACATATATATATTAAACATCAAATCAAGGAATAATCAACGAAGAATTAGATATGGTTTTCGATATGTTGATAAACGAGTTTGCAGACATTAAAGATATTTTGACTTAACATACACTTACTCGCATATATCTGCGTACACTCTAAAAAAATTTCAAAATCAATCTTTCAACTCATATTGTTCGACAATTTATTAATATTCTTAACCAGTTTTTTTTAAACATAACTATAATTTATTGTCTTGAATCAGTGGCGGAGCTAGACCAACTCTGCTCGTCGTCGACATCAGAATTGCGAGACCCCCCTCTATAACCCAGTTGTAAAAGTAAATAAGTTACATTCACTAATACGACAAAGCATGATTGAAAGTTTTATTGCTAATCAATTTAAAATAAACACAAATTAAAATAAATGAATTTTCCTACTTTTAGTATCACCCTATTTTTTTTTTTAAATTATATCATAATGAAGATAGTCTCTCTTGGACCATCATAATTTTCTAGTACGTCTTAAACAATTTTAACTTTGCTTCTTTCTTTTCGTCGAAGCTATACTGACTGGAACTGTGAACATGAATCTGATTACTATATAAACTTTAGGGAATACTTCGAATATAGTTAATGCCATTATCAAACCAAATTGCTCAAAATATTTATTAACTGCTTAGAATCCACAGTCGGTAACTTTTTGCGAGGCCCCTGCGGGCGCGAGGCCGTCGGCGGTCGCCGACATCGCTGACGCCTAGCGACGCCACTGTCTTGAATGATATATTTTTTCCAAAATATTTTAACTATGTCTTCTATTTTATTTTTAATTTACAAGTTAACACTACGAAAAAATGTACACGCATACCCAGTAGAAAACGGATCGATCCGTCATCGAAGACGTCTTCAAGACATGGATACATACATGAAGACCGATCGATCCAAATGTATGACGGTCTTCGAAGACACTTTCATACAAATTAGCCAAATGTCTTCAATGAATTATTGCGTACAAGTCTCGAAGACCGTCTCGAAGACCATGTCTTGCATAACGGACGCATTCGACAGAAAGTTGTGCGCGCTTAGTGCAGTGCTCATATAATTTTTTCACCCTTTTTTTATTTCTACTCTTTTATTGCACTCTTTAAATTTTAAATGAATTTCAATTTCTTCTTTAAATAAGTAGAAAGAAATTGTTGTATTTTGTACTTTTATTTATTTTATATAATAATTTCTTACATTACATTCAAAATTAAAAGTTTTAAAAGTAAATTATAAATTTTATTATAAATTATTATAAATTTTATTAAGATATTAAAAATAAACTAGTAAAAACTAGTAAACATAGTGAAAATTAATTTAAATAATTAACTTAATATAACTTAGCATATCTAAAATTAACTAAAACTAATATAAAATAATTTACAGCATTTCGCTATCATCAATTGTTGAAGTTTTATAGGTTTTCAAAAGCGTTGAAAAGAATTTTGGTACAATTAAACCTTCTGATCTTAAGAGTTCTAAAATATCATTACCACAACGCCTGTTAATCCTGTGTTTTTTAAATATAACAGCTAATTTTTCACAAGTGTTGTTAGTTTTTTTATTTTCAACATCTTTTGTTTCGTTTCTTAAACAACTTTCACTGGAATTATTGTCTTCAATATTAATATCAATATATTTTCCAGGAGCTAAGTCAATATTTAATTTGTTTTGATTTAATTTCTTTTTTTTAATATTTCATAGTTTAATGATTTTGTTTCTTTATTCATTTTGATTTTTTTAATATTTATTTCACAAATGTTTATTTACTTTCACTACACTTCAAAATTATTGCGTCACTTCATTTATAAAACATAGCGTCATCTGAGGCAAAATTCAAATACGTTGCTATGATCACTAAAAATGAGAGAGAAAGCAAAGAAAGAGTATTTACATTCATGTTTTGAGCAATTGTTTTGCAAATTTACTTGAAAATGCGGACGCGGTATCAAAGACCGTCTTGAAGACAATGTCTTCGAAGACCACTTTTTCTACTGGGGCCAGTAGAAAACGGATCGATCCGTCATCGAAGACGTCTTCAAGACATGGATACATACATGAAGACCGATCGATCCAAATGTATGACGGTCTTCGAAGACACTTTCATACAAATTAGCCAAATGTCTTCAATGAATTTTTGTGTACATGTCTCGAAGACCGTCTCGAAGACCATGGCTTGCATAACGGACGCATTCGACAGAAAGTTGTGCGCTCTTAGTGCAGTGCTCATATAATTTTTTCACCCTTTTTTTATTTCTACTCTTTTATTGCGCTCTTTAAATTTTAAATGAATTTCAATTTTCTCTTTAAATAAGTAGAAAGAAATTGTTGTATTTTGTACTTTTATTTATTTTATATAATAATTTCTTACATTACATTCAAAATTAAAAGTTTTAAAAGTAAATTATAAATTTTATTATAAATTATTATAAATTTTATTAAGATATTAAAAATAAACTAGTAAAAAATAGTAAACATAATGAAAATTAATTTAAATAATTAACTTAATACAACTTAACATATCTAAAATTAACTAAAACTAATATAAAATAATTTATAGCATTTCGCTATCATCAATTGTTGAAGTTTTATATGCTTTCAAAAGCGTTGAAAAGAATTTTGGTACAATTAAACCTTCTGATCTTAAGAGTTCTAAAATATCATTACCACAACGCCTGTTAATCCTGTGTTTTTTAAATATAACAGCTAATTTTTCACAAGTGTTTTCAGTTTTTTTATTTTCAACATCCTTTGTTTCGTTTCTAAAACAACTTTCACTGGAATTATTGTCTTCAATATTAATATCAATATATTTTCCAGGAACTAAGTCACTATTTAATTTGTATTGATTTAATTTCTTTTTTTTTAATATTTCATAGTTTAATGATATTGTTTCTTTATTCATTTTGATTTTTTTAATATTTATTTCACAAAATATTTATTCACTACACTTCAAAATTATTGCGTCACTTCATTTATAAAACATAGCGTCATCTGAGGCAAAATTCAAATACGTTGCTATGAACACTAAAAATGAGAGAGAAAGCAAAGAAAGAGTATTTACATTCATGTTTTGAGCAATTGTTTTGCAAATTTGCTTGAAAATGCGGACGCGGTATCAAAGACCGTCTTGAAGACAATGTCTTCGAAGACCACTTTTTCTACTGGG